GTATATTATGTCATGACGACTAGCACAGGTATGGCTGGCGAGAATGGTGTCTCTTTCGTTGCGCTATTCCTCAGTATGATGGTCACTGCCTTCATGTTCTGAGCAGCATAGAATGCTTGTCGTCCCCGGCAACTTGGTAGCCAAACCTTTGCTCCGGGCAAGGTCGAGAACAGATGTAACGGGCTCAGGACTGATTGTATCATGGCGTTATGGATATCACGGGTTGTAACATAATACAGCCCTATGAGAGATTCTGTAGGAATCAAAATGGACACTGAAAGTATGCAAAGAAGTCCCAGGCGCCCATCATAGATCCAAGCGTAGAGCTTCGTGTGATTATGCTTGTTGTTCCTAGTAGCCATACTTTCACATCAAGTAATTTGTCCCATGAACAAAATTGCGCTGGTTAATTGATGTAAAAAGATTGGTATTGACAAACTACGAGGTCTGGGAGGTAAAGCTGGATGTGGTATGAATCACCCCGCGCATTGTAGTTGCGTGGTCATAGCTTCGTAGCAAGGGTTGTGGAACCGAAGTTGCGGACTCGCGATCCAATCACGGGACAAGCGCGCCGCAACCACGGCGAACACCAAAGCCGTTCTCTCACGCGGCTTCACGACTGTTCACTAACATAATAGAACAAAGCACCCCGCAATCCGATTGTGCTCTTCGGCTGACGTTTGTCACCAATCGCCGACATTGCCTTCAAGCAGCATCATCTTCTGCTACGAGACCACGCCCATCGACCAAGTCTACAGTCGCTATCACCTCTCACATACCGCCTTTTGAGAGCGTAGCGCGGCGTTCTGTTACTACAGTTTAGCCCAATAGCGCGTCTTACTTCTACAAGAAACGCCATTGCGATTTCGCAATCCTTCTCGGCGGATAAACACCGAGTTGCGTAACCTCGAGTTTTGTTTGTGATTGCCACAGGCTTGTATTAAAAGTCTTGATCAAGCACAAGCAGCGTCTCAGGCAAGATGGCTGTTAAAAAGTCAGGCAGGGCCCAGGCGAGGGAAGAGGGTAAAGCGCCTTTATACTTCGAATCGACATGACGGCTAACAGATCATAGGGCTGGAGCGGACAGACAACAACATGGATCTCACGACGTGGCCGCAAGTTGGTATGATCAACCAAAAAAACTACTATACCGAGTTCTTGAAAAGAGACGAGCAGTTTCTCGCCGTGCGATACCCGAAAGATGAGGAGAGAGCCCGTATAGTCCAGGAAGCGCGGGACAAGGATCGCGCACGCGCACTGGGTGTGCCAGCAGCAGAAGGAGCAACACCACAAGCTGCAGACGAGACAATGGAAGACGCCGAGGCCTCATTTGCATCGAGGACTGACATCTCGAAGCTCATTGTAATACACCCTGGTAGTCAGAACCTGAGGATAGGACTTGGATCAGATGCGTTGCCCAAGACAGTGCCCATGGTCATTGCGCGGAAATGGAAGGAGAGCGAGGACGAGGAGGATGATGGAGAACCCTGTCCTAAGAGGATCAAGGTCGATGCATCTGAATCCACGGAGTCGCAACCAGAGAAGTGGTTCGGTGAAGACGTAAGTTACCCGACAGGTCCTGGTCTACATTTACTAATATGCAATACAGTTCGCCGATCAGTACATGACCATGTCGACTGAACTCAGGACACGCATGCGCGCCAACAAGCGACGAGTACTTCCCAATTCCAAGGACCTAGTCCAAAACTACAACAAAAAGTCTCCCCCAGATATCATCTCAGAGCACAACGACATCAACCGCATTGAGTGGACAGAGATACCAGCAGACCCAAGCAAGGCGCCGGATTTCTTCACTGGAAACGAGGCGCTACGAATTCCAGAGAAGTCGAACCCAAGGTACAAGCTGTTCTGGCCGATACGGAATGGCACGTTCAACGAGAAAGACTACCGCGATCGCAATCAAATTTACCACGACATTTCCAAGATATTCGAAGAAGCCTTCCGGAGCCAACTGGGCATTACAAAGCTGAAGGACCTTGTTAACTACAAGTGTGTGTTCATTATCCCAGATCTCTACGAACGACAATATGTAACCATGATTCTCGATATCCTGATGCGAGACCTTGGCCTCGGAAAGGTCTGCCTGCAGCAAGAGTCTCTCTCGGCCACATTTGGTGCGGGCTATGGTGTCGCGTGTGTTGTTGACATCGGTGCTCAGAAGACATCGATCTGCTGTGTCGACGAAGGGCTGTGTGCCGAAGAGTCGCGCGTCAACCTAAAAATGGGCGGAGCCGACGTGACGGAGACATTCATCAAGATGATGCTGTACGGGCACTTTCCATATGCAGACATGAATCTGAAGCGGAGATACGACTGGCTGCTTGCTGAAGAGCTAAAGCAGAAGTTCTGTTCCATGGACGAAGGTGCGGTCACGGTGCAGACGTGGGACTTTCATCTCCGAGCTTGGAACCAGGACACACGCAAGTATACCTTCAAGACGTACGATGAGACTATGCTCTCGGTAATGGTAAGTAATATATATGTATCACAGGTGCGGTACGTTTGCTGACATGCATAGGGCTTCTTCAAACCATCAATATTCGATAACTCTCGGAAACTGGAGAACCGAAGAAAAGTGGTGCCTCGCTCGGTCGACCTGTATGATGGGTCGCCCAACGACCCCATGTCCCAGGCCCAAATTGCCGTCATCGAAGCCGCAGCAGGCAAACCCGTGGTGCCAATCAGCAACGGCGTGCCGGAAGTAGTAAACACCACCGCGCCGGTATCTACACCGCAACGCCCACAAGCCAACGCTCTAAGTCTGCTCAACCGGCTAAACGAAGGCGAAAACACGCCGCGATCTTCCGTGGCAGGCTCGCCCGGCCCCGAAGGCGCCAACACACCCAATCCCGACCGTGACACGCCCATGGGCGACGGCGACGGTCCCCCGTTACTCGTCCGCGACCCGATTGACGAAAAGACCAAAGTAGCCGAAGCCCGCGACGCCATCCTCCCCATCCAAGCCCTCGACCACGCCATCCTCGAGTCGCTCGCGCACGGCGCCCGGGGCGACGACCGCAAGCTCCGCGACTTCTTTGGTGGCATCATGCTTGTGGGCGGCGCGTCAAAGACACCTGGCCTCCGCGAGTTTCTGGAAATGCGGCTCCGTGAGCTGCGGCCGGGGTATGGCAAGGAAATTCTTGTGGGGCCGCCGCCGCGCGATTTTGATCCGCAGGTTGTGGTGTGGAAGGGGGGAAGTGTGTTTGGGCGGTTGAGTAGTCATGGGAATGACGGGTGGATTAGTCGGTATGAGTATGATATGCTTGGGGCGAGGCTGTTGAATACGAAGTGTATGTTTGCGTGGTGATGGAGGAGGTGGAGTTGTCAAGGGATGGGATTCATTTTTAAGTAGGGCAAGGGGGAAGATGGGATCATTATTGAGCTTTTTTTTGGAGGGGGGTTACATGGGAATGCGTATACGAGTGTCTACTTATATGGTGTTTGTTTTTCTTTGTTCGTCGGAGAATACATGGCCAAGTGTATAGAAAGACACAACGTTCTCAAACCAAAACTTTGTTTTTGTTTCTACTGGAATAAATAGGTATGCTTTGAATTCTCTTACAAAACAAGCCCCCACCCTTTACCTCACCCTTTTTCTCAAAAAAGCCAAAAGCCAAAAGCCAAAAGCAATAAACTCTCATCGTAATCCATTTTACTTAATTTAACTCTCAGTCTACGAACACACAGACACACAGACACATAATGATGTGATTCTATTGAATCATGTGTGTGTGTGGGGTGGAAAAATAAGACTCCGTACGTTCGTCTTCCCTTGCCTTTTTTTTCCCTGGCAAGGGGAAATATGAGAGGGAATTACCATTGTTGTGACTTACAATTTAAAGATAAAGTAATGCGTATTCTGGACCAAGGGGTGGGGAGAGAGAGAGAGAAGAGAGAGAGAGACCGACCCCCACACACTGTTGACATTGTCAGCGAAACTTTTTGATTGTATCGGAAGATTGTGAAAAGGTGAATCAAAGCTCTCGTATTTTTTTTTTGGGGGGGGGGGGATGGAAAGACATCAGATCATTTTTCACGAGTGTTATTTTTTGGGAGGTTTCCCTTAGGGTACCTTGCGAGAATGAACAATGAGTAGACCAAAGGGTTTCTCTTTTGGTATTTTTTCCGATATGAGGCTAAAATTTGGGGAGGGGGCTGTTTTCTAGAAGGGATGTGTATGTGTATATGTGTGTGTGTGTGAGGGATTGTCGGTGTAAGTACGTATTGAGACATCGCGGTATGTTTACACCTGACTAGCGCGGATCCAGTCTCCTGGTTGTGTCTTTCCAAATGTTGCAAGAGAAATAGGTTTCCCACAAAATGGAAACAGGGTCAAGTGTTTGGTTTTCTTGTTGTATTAGACATGTTTCAGGACAAAAGTATGCAGATACGAAGGGGGCAAATGTGACGATGCCGCGGGCTTCGGACCTCCGGGGCGTAAAAGTAGTGGAGTTATCTGTATTTCGGTACCCGCGTTGTCGGATCATTTCAAGGCAAAAGATTTGTCAGCATATGCAACGACGAATGATACGAGAGTGGAGCTGGTGGACTCTCGGCGCGAGATCAGATTGTGGAAGATGGTGATGACGGAAAGGATGATGATGGTCACGCATGTAATGCAAGTAAGCCATCGAGATTCGACATCGCGTGCATGGAAGGCATGTTATCTCGATTGGGTTGGGGGAAACGCAATCAGTCGTTGAGATTGTTTCGGACAAGCCGCGGAAGTTGTACGCATGCGGGTAACTAGTTGAGTGTATTGTACGTAAGCATGCCTGGAGCTCCGGTGGGGCCGCTTGCCATGGCAATCACTCGCCACTATGCGCTGAACTTGTTTTACTTCTCCTTTGTTGTGGATGTAATCAAGCGTGGTTGCAGGAGAGGTTCAAGGTGATACGTCGTAAGTGTGCGGAGCTCGCTCAGTCATCAAAGGGCGGCAGATATGGAAGAGAGATTGTATTGGGCGTAAGTAATAGAGGTTATTGCTTGAGTCCAATCTCAACAGCCTTTTGATTACAGAACTCGGCCATTTCGACATCTTTTGTGCTAAGCCCGTTGGGGGAGTGCGTGGTCCATTCAATGGTGACACGATTGTAGAGATTGGACCAGGAGGGATGGTGGTTCTTGGCCTTGCATTCATCTGCGATGAGGGACATGAAGCGCCAGGCTTTGGTAAAAGAAGAAAAGGTAAATTGACGCACGACGCCCTTCCGGGAGCCGGTGAGTTGCCAGTCAGGAAAGAGCTTCAAAGCTCGATGGGGCAGGTCAGCGGGCTGGTCGGCAGAGAAGATTATGTCATGTGGTGATGGTGGTGGTGGGCGAGCATGGGACGAGTAAGTTGCACGGGGCAATAACGCTGTACCTTGGGCCGGCAGTAGCAGCAAGGACGTTATTGTGCGACGACTGCGGATGTGGGACAAGAGTGGCGGATAGGGTAATGGTAGGCGTAGGCTGGAGCAGTACTTGGCCTTTGGATTAGAGAGTGTGAGTGGAGTGTGAGGGAATGCACGCCAAGGTGTGGTATTGGTGAGAAGTGACGGGACCGCCCGAACCGGGCGGGCAGATGGAGCCATTCAGGCAATAGGGCTCGGATGAGTATGGGCGAGTAATGAGAGACGAGAGGAGAGACGAGGCAGAGCGCGTTGGTTGCTGCATTCAGGCCAGACGGGAGCTTCGGATGTGGAAACTCTTGTGGCCCGGATGGAGTAATCAGACACTGAGATGCGCTAGGCCCAAAGCGGAACGTAGTTGCGCATAGGGTGCGGGTGCTGGGCGGCTACCGAATAGTCGGAGAATTGGTCAGCGATTGATTGAACAGCTTGAGCAGCTGGATAACTCTGTGTGTATAGCCTCAGTGTCTGCATTCTTAGCCAGGCGCGTAATACACGTCCATGTGCACTAGAGCAAGTAGGTGAGCAGCAGGGCACTATATGCTCATCAGGCCTGGTGTGCCCGTGACGTTTGTTGTTGTTGTTGTTGTTGTTGTTGCGAGGGCCGCTCTTCTGCTCTCTGCTCTGCTCTGCTTTGCCCTATGTCGCTGTGCTCTCCGGCTATCCGCCCGCCTACTTAAACGCGCAACGCCCGCCCACCTTAGTCAAAGCTGCGTAATCCACTTCCCGACCAACTGCATCATCACGTCCCCAGGTGAGCAACACCATCCCCAATCACAAACAATCATGCTGTCGCGACACTGCCTGCTTCGCGCCCAACTCGACACCGACATGCTGACTCGCCCATCCATAGTTGGTCTTGCTGCTCCTGCTGCCCTTCTCCCCCCATAGCCACAGCTGCTACAGCGTCGCGACGTCACCCGCATCCCGCTCCACCAATTCCTGCCACTGCCACTGCCACTGCCACCGCTCGCCCACCACCGCCACCACCATCACCGCCACAGCCACACGACCAGCGCTGCTCTGCTCCCTCTCGCCCGTTGCGCTTCGAATGAGTCCCACTTTGCACCATCCCTCGATCCGCACCGACACGGCCTCCATCATGCAGACATCGGCCGCTCAGGTAAGCTTTGCTGACGGTTTTAGGCCTTTGCCCTGCTGACTCCCCACCCAGGACCAGTCCAAGCCTACCATCGAGATGAGTTAGTCACTCCCCGCATCGCATCCCGCCTTTCATACAGCTGACTAACGCTTATCACCATCAAGGCTTAAGAGAACACTTACTCGCTGCTGGCGCCGGCCAGCCCGCCGTCCAGCCTCTGCCCCAGCACCCGACACATTCCCAACACCCACACCCTCCCAGCCAGCCCCACGCCATTGACCCTGCCATTGGCGGCCCGACATCGTACGACATGAGCGCTGGCGGCCCCGACGACGGTAACACCAGCGAGGGTCGCTCAAAGGGACGGAGAGAACTGTCCACGTCCAAGCGCGCTGCCCAGAATCGCGCTGCTCAGGTACCGCTGCACTCCACAGCCCGCCATCGTGTCGCGCCATGCTAACTTGGACAGCGCGCATTCCGTCAGCGCAAGGAAGAGTACATCAAGCAGCTCAAAGACCAGGTCAAGGAGTTCGAGCAGCTATGCGAGCTCTACAAGACGCTCCAGACCGAGAACTACCAATTGCGCGACTACATCATCAACCTCCAATCCCGACTCCTTGAGACCCAGGGCGAGATCCCCCCTGCCCCGGCCGGTGTAGATCTCAACCGACCGCACGCCGAGCAAGCCAACATGCACCCCCAACCGCAACCGCCCCAGACCCCACAACAGCCCGAGCAGCAACAGCAGCAGCAACAACCCGCGCAAAACAACAGCAACGGCGGTCTATCAGAGCGCCAGATTGGTGAGCTACAAATGGCCGCCCAAGCAGCAGCAGCCGCTCAACATGGCACGGCTGGCACCAAGCACGCAAACGTCGATAGTTCATATGACTTCACAGAGAAGCGCCAAAAGGTCGACGAATCTCCCCAAGGTCAGCACTATCCGCTACCCCCTCCCTCGCTCCTCTATAACCCTAGCTCAATTGCTTATTGTGAGAGAGTAGCCACTCCGATCCATGGCTTACCAGCGTAGTAGGTTCGGGCGCATCTGCCGATTACGATGCATTCGTCAATGAGATGCATCACGCCAAGCAGACGGCATAGTCACCTTCACATGCCTGTCGCCTGATTTGTTTTCTTCGACTTTTATGATGTAATGCATAGGCCACGACGCTTGTCTACGCTCGGGCTGGCGGTGTAACATGACTGGCGTATGGAGTCTGGTGTCGTACCATACTTTTTTACCCTTTGCTTTCTCTTCTACCATTGCCGTCATACTAAAGCATTTCGTGTGGCCGTCGCAGTAGACTTTTCCGTATTCTTCATCTGCCTAGTGATGAGGCCGGGAACAACCAGAACTTCGTTTTTCTCCGGGCAGCCTTTGTGCCGTCTGTTTTCCAGAGTACACTTGGTCACATGTGTTTGTGAACCATGGACTTGATTCGACAAGGAAACATTACAGGGCATTGCAACGGCCAGGCTTATTATACTTGTTGATATTTTAAGGTATCCAATGTTTAAATATTAGCTGTTTAGTTGGTGATAGTTTGTATGCATATTTGAGTAGCTGTTTACTACATGGATGGACTGTGATTTCTCCTTTCTCTTTGTGCTTACATAATTATCTACAGGGATGATAACGTACTCCACCAGTAAGCTGGCCACACCAGTAAGCTGGCCGCCCCACCAAACCTAACGCGACGCTCTGCGC